TTGATGGGAAATAGGATTGTTTCCAGATTTTAGCTATTATAAACTACCACTGTAAACATGGGTGAGCATATATTGTGTGGTATGTTTCTTTTAATTCTTTTGGGAATTGTATTTGGATGTACTGTAATGGAAGGACACAATACCACATGCTTAGTATTCCTGTCAAAAATGTTTAATTTCAATTTAATTATAAACAAGAATCCAGATTGTCTTCAGGATAATTCTAGCTAAAACATTACAAGGGGAATGTTCTGGGACAGTGCTGTGCTGGTAAAGATGATGCAAGTTGGAATTTAACATTTTCTGTGGCCATATTAAAAACAAGCAGAAATGAAGTTAATTTCAATGAAATACTCTCATATATGAAATATTATTTAAATATAGAGTCACTATAAAATATTTAGATAATGTATATCTTGCTAGTGTCTTAGAATTCCAGAGTATATTTTATACTCACAGCACTTAATCCAGAGTAACCATTTTAAGGACTGAGTAGTCATACACTGTTAGGTATTGGATAGGGCAGGTCTAGGTTAAAGTTGAACTAAGAGACATATGTGGTCCTTGATTAGATTGTGTTAGAAAAAAAAATCTAGAAGAGCTATCTAGAAAAGATGTTTTGAATACAGGTAGTAGATGGTATTGTGTCAGAGTTAAATTTCTTGAGAGGATATTGTGAATTTGCAGAAGATGTAGCTGTTTTCTGACTATATGATGAAGTAATTAATGGTAAAATGTCATATTGTTTGCCACCTACTTTCACATTTTCTGCAAAGTGTAAGTTATGCCCACTTATGCATTTATATAAACATATGCACACACATGGAAAGGATATAAAATATTAGATTTGAGCAAATATATTAACAAGCTTGACTTATTATGTAAATATAGAACAGTGCTCCTATCAGCTGAGATTATACATAATTTCAGGTGAATATGGAACACTATGAAAGTTGACTGCACACTAGTTTGTAAAGTAAGAGTGGCAGTTATACAAAACATGTTCTCTTAGCACTACAAAATGACATTAGAAAGCACAGTGATAAAATTCCATGATGTGGGAATGAAGTATTGTTTATGGAAAGTATGGAGGAGGGATTAGAAAGCATTGTTATTGTAAGTGGAAATCCTCTGAGAGATGATCAGGGTCTGTGTGAGGGGGAGAGGATGGGAGGGATTTCATGTCTGGTTATGTGCGGGGATGAGGGAGTATGAAGAGGACTTCTAAATTTATAGGTGGACTGCAGTGTTGTCCATTATGAGAGAAATATGCAGGCTGAGGTAGAGATAGTTTATTATTCAAACATGGCGCTCAAGAATGGCCCGAGCAAGGTACTTGCATTTGTGCCCATGTACATTTAGGTAATAAATGTAGCTATGGCAGTGGACCAAATCATTCCAGTAAAGTGTTAGAATGTGGCCAAGGAAAGAAAGCTGTGGGCCATCTACAATAGCCAGAGTTGGTCAAAGCAGAATAAGCCCCCGAAGGAGACATGAAAAAGTCACATGTGAGGGAAATTCAATGGGTGATTGACTCCAGGCAAATAAATGGTTGAGCCCAGCAGAATTCCGAGATGAGCACAGTGTGTACTGCTAAGAGCTGGGTCCTCTGGCTGGCGGTTCTGCTGCTTTATGTTCCTTGATCTTATTGCCAAGCCCCCGAATGTCATCACCTGCAGTTTCTTTTCCAATCTCCCTGATTATCTCTCCTTTACTGCTTAACTGATTATTCTAATCAGAAGCGATTTATAATTCATGTTCCTGAACTGAAATCCTAGACTTCTGTGAAGTCGGTCTAGATTTTACATAGAGGGAACAGTCACAAACTCAGAGATGTTACAGTTTGTCATGCAATATGTCTAGTTCCCCATCTTGGCTGAGCTAATTAGAACTGATGTTGGATTTTCATGTTTTAATTGCCTTTTAGACATCATCTTTAATTCTATACTGTTATTTAGAGGTGTAACTGTATTCATCCTAACATGATTTAGTTAAATGGTACTGTAAAGTGCTTTTAGTTTAGAACTTAGATGGATTATGCTACAAGGTTTTGATAATTGTTTTCAGAATGGGCAAATCTTTTTTTTGTGTGTGATGATAGCAACATCAGTTCATTATAAAAATTTAAATACAGACATACAGTATATAATGTTGAAAGAGAAAGTCCCCTAGAACTGTCCCCTTCTTTTCTCCAAAGATTGGAACCATTATTAATTGTAGTTTGCTGTTATTATCAGACAGTATAGTTTGGGCTTTGTTGAGTGACAAATAAATCCCAAATTCTCAGTGACTTGCTTCAGATTAGTGCGGTAGTCTCATACTGTATCTCTACTGTTGGGTGCAGACTTCCTAGGGCACTGTAGCAGGGAAAGAGTAGGCTGAAAGACCAGTTCAAGATTCAGGACTGGTAGTGGTTTACATCTTTCCTGGCCACACTGCATTGGCTCGAATCTAATCACACACCCTCAAACCAATTGTAAGGGAGTTGGAGGAATGTAGGGGAGCACAAGTATAATCAGGTGAGTACTGACAATTTCTGCTGGAGCATTCTTCCATACTTTTCTTGTGGGTTCCCAAGTGAATGGACCAGTGCACTTATACGTGTAAATTTTCATAAACATGCAATCGTTAGAGAAGATTCACTTTCCCAACATTATCTCCAGAATAACGTAATCCTTAAGGAGTGTCTCTGTTTCTGAACTTCTTAGATCCTTACCACACGTGGAGTCAATCTGCTCCCTCTCGTGTCTTCAGTTCCCAGTGTGTTCAGATAGGAGCATCTGCGATCTCTTGATCTACATTGATTTCTTTCCTACCCAACTTCATACATTTAGTAGTATTCCTGCCTTGAAAGACAAAGCTAAGTAAAAAAAACAAAACCAAAACCAAAAAAAAAACCTCAGCAGATTCTAAAGCCTTCTTCAGGTTTTGCCATTGTTTTTCTTTCATTTGAAACCTTATGGCCTTTACCATCACTGCAGATTTTGCTCTCTAGATGTCCGGATTGTGCTTCTGAGGGCTTTTTCCTCCTTTTTTTTCCTCTTCACTTTACTGCTGTGGCTCCTGCTTTTAGTTTTGCCATCCTTTACCCTACATCCTCTGTAGGAGTTGCATAGCTATTCTTGTTTCACTAAGTAGCTGTTTCATAAAATTGACAAATATGCACATTGAGCACCAAGTGATGAGGAATGCACGTTTCGCAGTCATCTGCTTGGGTTTGAGTGTTCTTCTGTTAGGTGTGTATGCTTGGGAAGGTTAATCACTTTTGTGCTTTAGTTTCCTCGTCTGTGAAATAAGGATAATAATTGTACCAAATTGATGGAATTGTTGTGAGAATGAAATAGGATCTATGTATGTATGTGTGTATGTATGTATCTATCATCTATGCATATATACATATGTACGTGTTCATATGTATTAGCACAGTTGGCACATGGTAAATATTCTTTATGAATTTCTATTTTTAAGACAAAATGTTTCCTGAACTCTACTTTTTCAAGTTTAATATGCTGTCTCTTCAATCTACCATGTGCCTCTCTATATAGAATGTGTCATTGAAGCTGTGTAGTCACCCTCTGATATAAGCCAGGCAGAAGCTGCACCAGTTTGCAATGAGGCACTTCAGTAGAACAGAGCGGATGGATGCATTCTGGCTCTGCACCTTCAAGATCTTGAGAGCTGCTTCTCCTCATGTATAAAAGGGAATTATCACAGCAGTTTGCCAAAAATAACTGTTCTGAGCTCACAGGAGATGATAATTCATGGGGAATACTAACCAGTACTTCTGGGTACATTATAAATGGTCAATAAATATTAATGTTCTGTTCTACATTTCTCTGAAAATTGTATAATCTGTTATACATTTAAATCTAAGTTACATAATGCATCTAGTGTGATCTTCTGTTTTCCTGTTTTTTATTGGCATTGAAATGATAACTATTTTGTATTTTGTATTTTTTTTTTTTTTGGTACTGGGGATTGAACTCAGGTCCTTGCGCTTGCAAGGCAGGCCACCGAACCGCTGAGCTAAATCCCCAGCCCTGTGGTTTGTAATGTTTAAAAAACATCATCATAATGTGTGTGCTTCATAACCTGGTTTCATTTTGCATGTGTTTGTATGTGTGTGTGTATGTATGTGTGTGTGTGTATTATCAGGAACTTGACCCAGCATGTGAGCCATACACTCTGTGACTCAGCTATATATGTTTTATCTGTATTTGTAAAATATCCACTCCAGAAGCTAAAATTGTACTCGGTAGATACGCAACATGATTATTTTTGTTGTAACATTTCCAGGTATATTTTCATTTCATTATCTGTATAAGGTAGGAGTAATAAGTATGTTAAAATATTGGTGGACATTTCTCTTTAGAATCTATTAACTATATATAATATTTTTAGATTTTTTTTTTTTTGGTGCCAGCGATTGAACTTGGGTCCTTGTGCTTGCAAGGCAAGCAGCAGAACCACTGAGCTAAATCCCCAGCCCTATATAATTTTTTGAAAAGCAAGACCTTTACCTTTTGTGGACTTTAGTCTTACTCTATTAAATGTTGAGGTTTCTGAAATGTTCAGTATTGCTATTTACATTGACTAATTATTTGCTAAATTATGTTTAAAATAGCAGATTCTCCGATGAAAACTAAGCTTTATGATGCTAATGAAGACAATGCTGATGTGTATGAATTAGGCTGTTTGTATTCATTGGTTTGTGCTTTGCTGTTGTAGGCATTTTCCTGGGAGCTGTCTCCTTTCTGATATATGCAGTTCATTTACTTTATACTTTTCAGTCCTAAATTTTAGTAATTGCACAACATTTAGTGGGGGGGTGAAAAAAACATGCAAATGTGTTTTTTGAGTATCTGTTAGTAATTTTTTTGAAGAATCTTGTCTCTCTTCTTATTAAAAAATCCATGATTTGCAATTTAATTTTAAAAGTGCATTTAGAACTTGAAAACTAATAGCATTATACTATTAAAGCTTTTTTTTTTAAATTCCAGAACAAGTAAAGCTGGGTAAAATAATGACAGATATTGAATCTGTGAGTAAAAAAATGGAAAAAGAAAAGCAACAGCATGCTGGGAAGTCCAGGTAATATATAGTCAGCTAATCCATCTGTATATTTATATATTTATTCCTCTTTGCCATTATCCCCTGACCAGTAGTCATAGTTCCTGGTCAATCTATTAACACTATGCATTGGGCTAATTTATCTTTTTTCTTGAATTTCTCAAAGCATATCAATTATCAAATTTTTAGTTTTCAGTTCCATTAACTTTTGAACTGGAGGATGTCTGAGTAGTTAAGCAAACCATCTGGGTTTTACAGTGCATAAGCTCAAATCCAATTTGTGTCTTTCTTGAGAAAAATGCCATATTTTATGATAATATTACATAAGTTTGGAATTTTAATAACTCTTTTGCCGCAATTATGGAGAAGAGTGAGTTATAATTTCCCCTTTTAAATCTAATAATTAAAGGTTAGTCTTCTCCTAACAGAAGGTGAAGCTGATGCAACAGTACATAGTTTGAATGCAGGAATCTTGAGCATTGCCTCTGCTTTCCAAAAGTGTCTGGAGATGGGTTGGTTACATTTTTCAATTATTCTGCAGGACTGCGTCACCATTTTCAAGATAATTTCAAAACTGTATACATAACCACTGGCCTTGAGGCTACAGATAGACTCTCAACAGCCAGCAGCACATGTTTTGTAAGAACCTTTATATTGTAGAATGTCAGTACTGCTCTGTTAAAATGAATTTTTCAATGATGTATTTTACACTAATTTATTAATATAACATGGGCAGAAATTTGGGGTAATTAGTGCAACTATTAATCATAATTTGAGAAAGAGCTGCCATGGCTAAAAAATATCCTTTGTCCTCCAACATTTATGCAGTAAATTGTGTATAACACCAAAGATTCATGCTCTGTCTAACCATTTGCTTGGCTTAAGTGTAATGTAATCAAACTTGGAAGAGCAAAATGTACATACACCTTCAACACTGGAGGTTTGGTTTTATCTGTGTTAAGTGCAGATGCTAATTAAAAGGGAAAGAATTTATTGTATTGGAAATTCAGTAGTTTTTAATAGTTTCCTTTCTGTTTTCACCCAATTCCTGGAAAAATGTTATTCTAGCAGAGTGGTAGCTGTGAATAGTGGTTAATAAAGAAAGTCAGAGAGTTTAGAATTTTGAGTAAGTGTTTATAACTAGGAAAGTTAACTGAACTCACTGAATAATCATTTTTGGTACAGTATATTTAGGTAAGGCCAATAATCCAAGCAAGAATAATAATGTCATAAGAGTAAGTGGAGCACTCGCTAGTAAAAAAAATCTGATCAGGTGTAAGATCTTTTTTCTCCCATTTATTTAAAGTTTTTTTATTGTGTGTGAGCAGTGTTTTGTATCTTCCAGTATATAATAGAGTTCCTGCACTTCTTCTTTTTATTGTAATGTCTTTCTCATGAGGTCTAAATATTTCTCAGAGAATTGTTTCTTCGCAACTGGTGGAAGATAAAGGCCTCCTGATACTCAGATTTCCCATTTTTAATGAAAACGTGTCCTGCTTAATGAGGAAGATCACCACCCTTTGAAATTAAGAGCAAATGCCTGTACTTCAGAGCCAGCCCTGGGCCCATAAAGCCTGAACTTCAATCCACTGGGGCCGCCTTGTCTTTATTTATGGCCAGTTTATGGCGGTAACTTGTTTCTTACTTTAGCACTTAGCTTCATTTCATTAATGTTAGAAGTGTGATGGGAATGCTGCAGAAAAGATAAGGCAGTGTTTGGGGACGTGGTGACTCAGGTTTTCTGAAAGTCTGTGCTTAAATTTAAAAAAAGGATCTTAAATTTCTGTTGAAATCTGCTTCTGTACATGATGAAGATAAGTAAACTTGGCAATGAGGATATAAGCAACAGAAGAAAATTAATCAGTTAGGAAATCAAGGATGGGATTCTTAACAATTAGGTTCTAGGACTAATTAGCACAAATTGCCCAGCTCATTTTGAGACTTTGGAATGGTTCCTGTTCAAGTCATATAGACCTCTGTAAACTACTTACATTCTCCTCAAGATGCCTTGGATAGTACTAATGTTAAGGTGACACACAATTTTTTTATGTAGACCATAAAATATTTGCCAAAGCAGAGAAATTTTCTTGGACAAAATGTGAACAAATGTGACAGAATCTTATAAATATGTGATTTCTTTTTTCATATTTCCCTTTTGACCTGCAGAGAGAAAAACCAAATGGAGTATTTCTCCAATTTCATACTTATTCTTAAGAAAGTTTTAGTTATTAAATGTACCTTTAAATCCTAAATTCAAATATTGTCATACACTAAACTACTCTTTTAGGACAATAATGGTAGATGAGGGTATATTTTAAATGCAAATATCTCATCAGTAAAATTCACTTAGAATTTCCTTAATGTTATTTTTCCATCAATAAAGTTCACTTACTACTTATTTACTAGTGATGATTTTTTTATCTGCTGATATTTGATGCATTTGAAAGAATAACAACTTGAATTTCTGTTAATGAATGCAGATTGTATAATTCAAGCAGGTGAGACTGGTCTTCTCCCTAGTTTCCTGATCAGTGAGAGTTTCTTAGGCATTACATGATAATCTGTTTAGATTACTCTGATCGTCTTAATAACAAAGGGAGGGTATTATAATGTAGTGATAGCATGCCTCATGTCATTCCCAATTTCCTGAAGCAGCTCTGTCTTTTCACATTAATGTTTTAAAATATCTTGCTTGAGTGAATGAATTTTCTAGCTCTGTTAGAACCTTTCGCTATTTGTGAATCTTTGAAAAATGCAATTAGTTCTAATTTAGAGATTAAGTAATCCTTAGCCATGGACCACAAACTGTATTAGAAAGCAAAGCAAACTGATTAATGTATCTTTGCCCCATTTGGTAGCATATAAATAAATTCTAGAATTCCAAATGGCAGCTTTGCCAACTATCTACATAATCAAGCCTTTCATATTTTCCCTTGGCACAATTCAAGGAAGTCCTTTGGTCAAATCCATGGAGCTGTCCATGAGTGACAGTTAAACTAACGAATAAATTGGTTATTTATTTACAGTTATTGAGTACCTACTCTCAATCAAATGTCAAGCTCTGCACGGGGCAGTTCCAGTTTTCTCCCTTGTATGCCCTCATTTAATTAAATTAATTAATTAATTTTTTTGGTACTGGGGATCGAACTCAGGTCCTTGTGCTTGTGAGGCAGGTGGCAGAACCACTGAGCTAAATCCCTAGCCCTATGCCCTCATTTTATAGTGAGAAAAATATTTTAAAATTCTAAAATCTTCTATAACATTCTATTTAACATTTCAACTAGAAATTTCATTGTAGGTGTCTAAATTGAGAAAAAAAATAATTGAGCAGGTGCACAAATGTTAATGCTAAAAGATTTTCATCCTGGTAAATAAATCAGCAGTGTATTGAATCAACACAATACAGAATAGGATGTCAAAATAAAAATGTGCATCTTTAAGGTATTCATAACATAATGCTAAATGCAAAGTATTAGAAATTTCATGTGCATCTATGTACACATAAATGGAAGAATTATATATTATATACCACCCATAACAAAGGGATATAGCATGAAACAGTAATGTCACTTATGAAGCCCCATCTCCTGACTTTAAATCTTGGCTATACCCGTTTCCAGCCAGGACATTGTGAACTATATACTACTTAATCCCTAAATGCTTTAGTTTCTTCATTTATAAAATGAGTATAAAAATAGTAAATGCAATAGCTAGATATTTGTGGGAATTAAATCAGTATTACATGTGGTACACTTAGAATAGTTCTGACCTATAGGTTATTTTTAGTGTTTTTAGTTATTAGTAAAATATCAGGGTGATGAGATTAGGGGTCATTTTTAGTTTTTTCCTTTTACTTTTCTACATATTGTAAAGTTTGTATGTGGTACTAATTCCTGATTCATTTGACACGATTGAAGCTCTCTAACTTGTGTAAGGACAACCTGTTATTTCAAATCTTTTGTAAAGTACTGATATAATTCTCGTTAATTTTCTTGATTTTTTGTTAGATGGGGCAACTTTGTCCAGTAGGTATTCCCATTTGTTATCCATGTTCAGAACCAGTAAAATCTAATATTATTTTATCTCCATTCAATAATAAATATTTATTCTGCAAGTCATAGAGGAGGTAACAGGTCTACATTCTGTTGACTGGAGACTAATGCTGAAATTTAACCCAGTAAATTCTTAAAGATTTGTATCACAAGATGGAGAAAATGAAATCACTCTAAGATCCAACTTTTCGTTTTGCACACAGAATGCTGGAATCATTATATACCCTTCCTGCCCATTGTGAATTGACTTTCCTTCCCATCACCTCTTCTATGGGACTTCAGAAAGAACCTGGTGAGTTTCACTACATAAATGCCAGTAAGAACACGGTGTTGTTATTTACTCATGTTTAAATCACATAACTGATGCCGAAGTTATTCACTTTATATTTCACTTCAAGAACCATGTGAAAAGATAAAGAAATTTTTGAAAATGACTGCTAATAATCCTGGATTCAAATTTTTAAAAATGTGTGTGAATATTGAAAGTCATAGGAAATTATGGAGAGAAATCCTTTATAATTTAGCACAGTTCTCTATGGTTGAGTTATAGTTGCTTTAAAAATACATAAAATTCTTCAAAACAGAGTACATGATTCTTTAAAGTCCTTTAAGTGTGATTAAGAAACACTCTGGGCCTTGGAACTATTTGAAGACTTAGGGGGCTACTGATCCAACGGAACTATTTTGTAGTTTTCCTCTTTTTAAGTTGTCTCTCCTGTTCTTGGGCTTCAGGCTGTCATTACAAGAAAACTTTTCCTGTACAGTGGGACTTTGATTGATGTTGGAAGAAATTTTAAATTTGCAGAATAAACTTCTCTTTGTATGCTCAAGGCACTGTTACATAAAATAAAATGTTCTTTATTTTGTGAATTGAGATATTCTTCAATTTTACCATTCTTTGTCAAGCATCAAGTGGAAGTTCACTTTCGAACTTAGTTTGTATGGACTACATTTTCATTAACTCAGCCAGTATTCAATGCAACTGCTAAAACTTGTGACTTTATTAGAATCTGGATGACCTGCATGAGGTCCATTTTCCAATTTTGATTGTTATATTGATCCATAGCTAAATTCTTTTAATACTTTGATTAGACAACTTGAGTTCCCAGGGCAATGGAATAGTATGTGTATGTTAAATATATCTAGAATTGCATGTCTATTTACAGAAATAAGTCCTGGCACATATTCACATAAGAAGTAGCATAAACAAACACTTCATTTCAATTTTTTCATTTTCTCATATTCTTTTCTTTTCCCTTATTAGCTTCTAAAAGGGGAGGGGAGGAAGGGATGAAGGGACTGCAGGGACAAGGGGAAAAATGAGAACTAAGACCTGTCATGTAAAGGTACAAGATCCCAATAATGATTGTAACTGTACTGTATAACTAAAATGTAACAATAAACTCAATGAGGATAAAAAAAAGTAGCAGCATAAAATGGATATAATAGTTTTAGTAGATAATAATCTTATAAATCTGACAACCCTGTAAGTTGAGGTTTGCAGCTCTTAACTAGCATAAAAAAAAATCATTGTATTCTTTGACATTTACATTGTATTTAGGGTTATCTAAGGGATGATGAAAACCTTTACCTTCAAATAACGTCTGCCTTGGAAATCTCATGTCTTCATCCTGTAGGGGAGCTTCTTGATCCGTAGAAGGTGCAAGCAATTCCCATGGCTTAACTGAATGTTGAAATTCATTTAAATCTTTTTATATATAGCAGATTAACACTTGTTTAGGGTTAAACAAAAGATGGAAGTTTCCATTGAAAGAATCCTACCTCTTAATTGCAGATTGTTGTAAAAATTGAGTGGAAGGAGCAGAGTGGCAGTCACTTATTGATAATTTTTGAGATTTGCTAAAGATTCTACCCATTCAACTATACTGTGTTGAAATGTCAGAAATAATTACCAAGGGAATAATAGTTTCATGAAAGCTCAAAACTTTCTATACCTCTTGCATCAGGCACATAGTAAGCATTAATGAATGTTAAATAAATAAATGAATTGGTATAAATTAAGAGGAGAAGCCACAAAATGGAGCATATTTTGATATCTGTAAGTGCATGTCATACTGCATGACTAAAACTTTATTGCTAAAAGAAAATGATTTAGGGAAAGTAATATACTTGGTACTATTTTTATGGCTTTTTAAAAAAATACTGACTATATGTAGACTGCAGAGATACAGCACCATCAAACTGAGTAAAATGTTATGCAGTTTATATGCTTTAAAACAAAATTGTTGAGCAGGCTATTAGTTTTATGATATTATAAGTCTCTCAGTACTCATATAACTTCATGGGGAGTTGGAAGGTTGAATATGCAGAAAGTGTAAAAAATTTCAATAGAAATTGTCATTTCCAACTGCTATAGGGTTGATGTTTTTCCTTTAAAATGAAATGTAACTTTAATCAAATATGAATGAATATGTCATTGTTTATTGTATGTTAAGTTTTGTTTAGATTTGTTTTCAGTTAAACCATTGTTTTGTAAGTGCAACTTGTTTTTATAAATTCAGAAATGTCTGAAGGCTGTGGCCAGCAGTTTATTTTGTAAAAATAAAATGTGGAAAAAAGTTAATTTTCTTTTTGAATAATCTCAGTGCATTCTTCATTTTGTGTCTTCCTGGGATTTTTTTAAATCTTGGATTAAAAAAATGAAAAGTTCTAAAAATGCTTTTATAACTTTTTAGTTCATTTTAAGACTATGGTCTAAAATATTTGAGCAATGAGAGAATTTTGTACACATCATTGTCACAACTCTAGTTGGTTATAGCTTCAGTGAACATTTGAAGCAGTCACTGAAGTGTATTAAGTAACAAAATGAACTTAAATAATAACAAAATGTAGGAAGAATCAACATAGTGAAAATGGCCATATTACCAAAACTGCAATAGAGATTCAATGCACTGCCGATAGAAATTTCAACGGTATATTTCACAGAACTAGAAAAAATAATCCAAAAATTCATTTGGAACCCGAAGAGACCTAGAATAGCAAAAGCCATCCTAGGCAACAGAGACATGGCAGTGGGTGTAACAGTTCCCTATTTGAAACTATACTACAAAGCCATTGTGATAAAAACAGCATGGTACTGTCAAAGAAACAGACCTGAGGATCAGTGGAATAGATTGGATCAATACAGAAACAACTCCAGATGTACTCAGCTACTTCATCTTTGACAAAGGAGCCAACCATGCTCAGTGGAGGAAAGATAGCTTCTTTAATAAATGGTGTTGGAAAACTGGATTTCAACCTCCCAGAGATTAAAACTAGACCCTTATCTTTCACCATGCACTAAACTAAAATCCAAGTGGATTAAAAATCTAAATATTAAGAAAGAAACAATAAATTTGCTGGAAGATGAGTTAGGCAGAACTCTTGAAGTAATTGGCATAGGAAAAAACATTATGAACAAATCCTCATTAGCACAGGAACTAGCACAAAGAATCAACAACTGGGATCTCATCTTATTAAAAAGCTTCTGCACTGCAAAATGAGCCATCAACAGAACTAAGAGAAAACCTACAATGTGGGAAAATATTTTTTACCAGCTGCTCCTCATACAAAGGACTATTATCTAGAATATATAAAGAACTCAAAAAATCTGGGGCTGGGGATTTAGCTCAGTGGTTCTGCTGCCTGTCTTGCAAGCACAAGGACCTGAGTTAGATCCCTGGTACCAAAAACAAAACAAAACAAACAAAAAAAACAAACCTCAAAATATCAGCCTCCCAAATATAAAGACCCAATTCAAAAATGGGCATCTGAAATGAACAGACATTTCTCAGACAAAGAAGTTAAAGCAGCAAGTAAATATATGAAAAATGTTCCAAATCATTGGTCATTCAAGAGATGCAGATGAAAACAACACTGAGATTCCACCTCACCCCAAAAAGAATGGCTGCTATCAAGAAATCAACCAATAACAAATGTTGGTGGGGAGAAAGGAACCCTTCTCCATTGTTGGTGGGAGTGCAGACTGGTGCAACCACTATGGAAATCAATATGGAGATACCTCATAGAACTAGGATTAGAGGTTCCATTTGACCCTGCCATACCTCTGCTGGGTATCTTTCAGAAAGAATTAAAAGAATTATACCACAGTGATACATGTGCACCCATGTTTATAGCAGCAAATTTGTAATAGCTGAAACTTGGAAACACCCCATTTGCCCATCATTTGGAGTCTGGATAAAGAAGATGTGGTTTTTTAATAAAATGGAATAGTATTCAGCCATAAAGAATGAGAAATTAGAGTCATTCATAGGAAAATGGATGCATATTGAGGTCATATTCTTAAGTGAAATAAATAAATTACACGTGTAAATACTGAGTAGTTTCTCTGGTTTGAAAAACTATAATTATAAATAAAATTCTAATGGTATAATTGACAATGTGAAATAGGAAGAAAAGGGCTAAAGGTGTAGGGGAATTGGGAAGGGTAGGGGAGTGGAAATAAAGGAAAATAAAAAAATATGAGAAAATGAAAAAATTGAAATAACATTTTTGTAAATAGGGAAGGGAGGAGAGGGTAAAGGGAGGGCAGGGTTATGGGGATAAAATGAGAACCAAGACCTGTCATGTAAAGTTACAAGATCCCAATGATGAATGTAACTGTACTGTATACCTAAAATGTACCAATAAACTCAATGAGGAAAAAAAAAAAAAGAAGAAAAATGTAAGTCTGGGTGTTTTTGCAGAGGTGAATAGTAATTTACTAGGGTCTTAAAATTGCCCAATTAAAAAATAAATGTTGTTATGAAAAGAAAAAGGAAAGAAACATTTAGAAAATTATATTTTGATTTCTATCCATTTGATATATATATCAAATTATATATAAAAATCAAATTATATACATGTATATTATATAAATATATAAATATATATATATAAAATCTGTCTGTCATCTATCATCTTCTTGGAGCCTGGCCTTTTAAAGAAGCTTAGCATAGTGTTTAAGAGTGAAGGGACTGGAGTTACTTTAGTGAGGTTAGAATTCTAATCTTGCCAGTTTCTAGCTGGAAACCTCATTCTACTGTTAGATAATAGTAGTACAAAACTCAAGAGTGTTTTGATAGTACTTGGCAAGTGCATGTCATACTTCTTGGTGCTTAGTAAAATTGCTATTCCTTTTAGCCACCATTTCCTAGAGTAATGCATTATAGAATACAATAGACTAAAAGATTGGTGTCTGGTAGCCTCACTGTTACTCTGTATTAAAAGATAGATTACAAAAATTGCAGGATATACCTCCTTACAAGACTAGCTGACCTACCCAGTCATAGT